GATACAAACAAAGGCACAGTTTTAAACTAATTAATAGGGAATGTGCTTTCGCTATTTTGAAATTACTTGAAGAAGTCGACGATCCATAGAATTTGTTAATTGTAGGATGTCATCTGCTGTAATGCCGCAAGATATGTCAAGAATTGCTTCCCACAACTCAGCGTTGCTCCTGAATTGTCGTCCGTTGGCGTACAGTCTTCGCTTCATGATGCTCCAAAGGTTTTCGATTGGGTTCAAATCCGGAGAATTTGCTCGCCACTTCATTTTTCGAGGTCCATCGAAGCCTAACTGTTTCAAATATTCAGTAGTCTTGTGAGCAGCATGTGAGGGAGCATTATCTTGCATAAAATCAATGGCCCTTCTTACGGCAACTCTTTGCCGACACCATCTGGTACTCTCCATGGGCCCACTAATGTTTTTCCAATAATACCACCGCAGATCATTATGCCTCCACCGTCTTGTTGACGTCTCAAACGCTGATGGCGATTCTGTCCGTTCATTACCCAGCCTTTGAACCATGTATCTGGCCCAACAAGTGTTACTCGAGTTTCGTCTGTGAACAAAACTTTAGAGAAGTCAATCTTCATATTGTCCTCGGCCCATTTCAATCGATTTTGAATGTGATTTCTCGTCAACGGAGGCTTCGATACAGATTTGACTGTTGTTGCTATTTCCCTCAGATACCGACACCAAGTACTTTTAGACACAGTAGGACTCCCAATGCGACTGAAAAGCTCTTGACTGGTAAGTCCAGTGTTATTCGTCGCCTCTCGTTTAAGTCGTGACATGAGACGACGTGAAATAACCCTCGGCTTGCCTTTTTCTGCCCTTTTCCGTACTTGTGTAGGGTCGGCGGTGAACTTTTTCACTGTTTGATGACACCTCCCTATCATTTTAGAAATTTTTAGTGTAGATTTACCTTTTGAGAGATCTGAGGTGATAGTTTTCTTTTCAGAATCACTTAAACTGCTTTTACGGCCCATCTTTTCACTAAATTCTTACACTTTTTTAATAATTTGGCACGCTCAAATCACAGTGCTGATAACAAATATGGCGCCAGTTTGTTTACATTGCGCAGATCAATACGAAAGTTTCAGTGTTTCCGCAGGTCAATGTTACCAACATTGTGTGAAAATTTTGTGTGAATTGATTGGACGGTTTTTGAAATATTATCGAAAAAGGTATCTCGATAATAATTTGGCACGCAGTGTATCTATATATATATATATATATATATATATATATATAAAGACACTAATATCGAAATGTTTGATAAGTGGGGAAAATGTCAGAAAGAAAAAGAAAATGTTAAATCGGTATTTAAGCTCGGAGATTTTAAAGTCATTATTTATAACACATAATAAAATAATCTATACTAACCTTTTGACAATACTAACACCTAAACTATCAATTGATAAAAATAAAAGAGTAGAAAAGGCAATGTTGATAAATATAACTTCATGTGGGCAAAAACAGATCTTCAGATTAGTTGTACAAAAGTAAATAAATACTAATACAGAAAAACCCGGAAACGTTTTTAATCATTTCACCCTAAGCAAGGAAATAAATCCACTAACATTCAAGGTAGGGGGTGCTGAGTGTTAAAGAATATACGGAGAGAACAATAAAAGAACAAGAAGACATAAGATAACGATTGACATTGCATCTAATCTTTTGACGATCAAACTTTACTGGAAAGCAAGAAGCTGGAAGAGAGTTCCACAAGCGAGAAGTGCAACAAAAGAAACTCTTAGCATAGAACTTAAGGTTACATCTAGCAACCATTTCAAGTGTAAATTGATGAAACCTTGCCGCCAATTTAGTACTACGCTTAAATTCATAAAGTCTACACACCAGAGGGGAAGTCCATCAGAACAATTACCATGAAAGTAATTATAGAAAAGGTACAAAGAAGCTACTTTATGTCGATGGAAAAGTGACTGAAACTAAGATGCTAGGTCAGGAGCAATAACATTGCACATTATTCTTTTCATTTTATAAAGAATCTTTAAATATATAGCAAACAAGCCGCAAGGCTTTACTAGGAGTGAAAATGAGAAATGAGAAAACTTTAAAAAGGTACGGAAACCCAATCCTAAACAGTAAAAGAGGATAAACCTCTACTCCTGTTCAGAAGATTGGGATATAGTGTGAACCTATCGATAGGCGTCGTATTTATTCTTACATAACACAAACAGAAAAGCACATTGTAATCGTGTTGATGTTATTCAGTGTTGACTTTTTCTTTTATTATTATTCGTGCTTCCATTATTTTTAGTCTTTTTTACATGTGGATGAGGCGATTATGCTTGTATTTTCTACAAGTACATTGCGGATGGAGTTAGGTAGGTTTCCGTTCGTGTCTAAATGGATCCTAATTGAGTTATGGTCAGAAAAGTGTAACGTGAGTTTTATCGATAGTCATGTCGTGGTATGTCTGATATAATTATTTATAAGTTTGGTTTAATCAGGAACACAGTTCATTAGGGGGCATGTGAATTCTTAAATAATATTGGTTCACTGTAATTTAGAACTTGCAGGTGTGAAATGAAACTTAACAGAAGAGTGAAAAAATGAAAAAGATCTTAAAGTCATTAAAAAAAAAAAAAAAAGAATTAAATCAATTATAAAATTTATACTTTGAGAAACTTTTGCAACGAATGCCAAAAATTTGTGCTGAAGTAATCAAGGCTGAAGGTGGATATTTTAACGAGAGCAAAATTTAATCATATAATGCGTTTTTCCTTTTTGCCATAATAAAATTTCTAATAAAAATCATGAATCACTTTTTTTTAACCATGTATAATAATTTTCTCTTATTTAAAAGTACGAAACAACTACATTTTGGGCCAATTTAAAAAATTACCTCAGGTGACCTCAAACTTTTGGACTATATGAACGAAGTAAATAAAAATTATTTTCTAACTAATTAAATTTACTCTTCTGACTTACAACTCACTAACTACACAATGACGTTGAGAATCATGAGGAATAGTGATTAAGTTGGCTGAGTTCTCCGATCGGCTCAGTAAACTACTTTTCAAAAAGATCTCAGGTTTCAAATTCCGTCCTTTTGATCGGTTGCAAATCATCTTGAGAAGGAATTCTCTTAAAGTCTTTTTCCCCAGAACATTCCTTTTTTATTGCCTTGAACCAGGCATTGTGTCACTATAACCAGGTGCAGAAGCAAAGCTTATTAAGAAGTTTCCATCCGGATACTTTGGTTGGACATGGCTTCGCTACAGAGCAGTGATTCTCAACTGCCGTGCCGCAACACACTAGTGTGTGCCGCGCGATCCTCTGCCGCGAAATATTCTCACGACATACGCGTGTGTGTGTGTGTGTGTGTGTGTGTGTGTGTGTGTGTACGCGCGCGCGCACGCGGAAGTAGTAATAGTACATCGTTAGTATTTTACTAAATAAGCTGCACAAATAGTTGAATAAAAACATTGAAAGAAACTAAGTTCATAATTGTCTGTGTATTTTTTAAATCTGTAGTTTTATTTCATAGCATTTAAATGTATACCCTTTAAAAATGTTGCTAAGTGTGTTGTGATATTTTCATTTGCTCCTAGGTGTGCCGTTGCTTAAAAGCCTGAAAAACACTACTCTAGAGTGTGAAAAGGGGGCAGAGGGGTTTTTTGGTTTTTTTTTTTTTTTTTTTTTTTTTTTTTTTACACACATATATATATATATGTATTTTACATTATTAGCAAAGTCTCTGTGGCAAATGTTCTAACGACCTCTATATTCAGACCTGCAATTCAGGCTTTCACAGATAAGACCCGCCATGCCGCATAGACTGACGAATCAATCCTAATTTCCTTCATATTCCATTAGTAAGAAAGAAGTTTCATTCGGACATCTTCTTCTCAAGTACCGCTTCTTTGCGGAATCAATCCCTAGAGGATGCTGCCCCGATCGTTGCAATCTTAACAGTTATATATCTTACATTTCTCTTTCCGGGTTACTTCTGAAGTGGGCTGGTCAAACTCTGCCTCTGGGCAGAGAGTATCCCCAGACGAGGCTAAGTCGAAGGGCAGAGTCTCGTCTCGGGAGACAGCTACCCGACCCCGTTTTTTACGGGGTCTACGGAGAATTTGGGGCCAAGCTTACGGGCTCGGATACCCCACAATAAACTCGGTTTGTGCCACATCCGACCACGTGGAGCGGTTAGTGAATATCATCTTTGTTACATTTCTTCAATTCCTACATCTTACTTCCTCCTCTTCTTACGGTCATACAACAACTTTATTCAGTATCTCTCTACCTTGAGTGACTCTTGGGCCTTGTATTAGGCGAACAATTAAAAAAATTGTCTGGCCACATTAGTACGGTACTGAAGAAATGACGACACTATTTTGCTAATCATGCTGCCCCATTTAGGGGCCCCCGGTGAGAATCAAATTTACTCTGCTTTAGAGTAGCATGCAGGGCATGCTTGCTAAATACTGTGCTACAGCGGATAATTTAATCGCCATTTCTTGGTTTTCAAGTACTACATCACATGCCATTCAGTAACAGCAATTATTTGCTGACATATTTTTCGTTTGTCGCGATGTATTTATATCGGTAAGGCTTGGAAAACGGTCAAGTGCTTTGAAGTGCGCTCAACTGATCAATAAATCAATTTGCTGAGCTCATGTAAATGTTGATTTAGCATTTACAACAAACATGGCCGAACTTCCGTTTCAACATTCCTTCGTACGGACGGATATAACGTGACCAAGAAATTCAGAAATAGGAACATTGAAAGTGTCTGATTATCTCCAGGACGTCATGAAACCAATCTTCCCTGAGTACGCATCATCTTTGGCATAATCTTGTCCTGTCCTGGGTTTGACGATAAATTTTCATCCAGCAGCAAGGCCTCTGATCGAGAGGTTTTGAGGTGCATGTAACCACCTCTTAAATGCTGTTTTTCCTGTCAGCATTAAATAACCCATTGGGGTTGATATGCCGTAAAACAAAATAAACCAAACTAAACCATAATGTTGTCAACGATTCCGGTGCTACAATACGCAGGTACTTCTACGATCACCGTAGTTAAACAACGTCGAGCCTGGTCAGTACCTGGATGGGTGGCTGCTTGGGAATACCAGGTGCTGTTAACTTATATGTGCAGTGGTGTAATGGATAACAGATTAGAATTGTTAATCCGAGAGCCGATTTCCAATTGGGTTTCGATATATTCACTTACGCGCAATTACTATTGGGAAAATCCATCTCCTCGCCTCCTAGCCATGGGTTAATTAGTAAAACTAGTATCACTAAATTATTATTAAAAAAAAAAAAACTTCTTGCAATGTAAAACAATTTTTTGACTTTAAATAACCTGCACGGGGTTGATAAGTCAGAAAATTAAACACTCAAAGAAAATGACAACAGAAAAAAATACCCAGGCAGCTGAAATTCCTTGGACGCAATGAGGAAGGAGGGTTTGGAAAACTTAACCGACACGGGGCATATTGACGGCAAGAGAGATAAGGGGAAGCAACAAGCCACTTACCAGACGACCTTGTGTGAATGAATGTCAGAACATGGTGTTGAAGGGAGCCGTTCGGAATTTCTTACCTAGGGTCTATATTAAAAAGGGATTTTTTAAAATGCTTATCCCAAAGCAAAAAACCCTTTGATTCTCGCCTTCTTAAGCGAAATGGAAGAAACATCTTGGAGTATTTATTCATTTAGATAAATATGTCTACATAGACGCATGCTATTATTACACTTCCGATTTATGCACTGTCAAGTAAAAATATGTCCCTGTTAACAGTTCACCCAAAAAATATTTTTTTAATCCTAAAATGAGCGGTGTCGACCTTTAATGTTAGCGCTACCTATCCCATTTTATCCTCATAGATGAATTTTCAACTATCATGATCCAGCTGTTTGGCTGACCATAAAATCCATATACGTATAAAATCGTCGACCTTATTATAATAGACTAGCAGCATGGCCCGGCGTTGCCCGTGCTTGATTCAAAAATCGTACGACTCATACAGCAATAGCTATCACTTGACTTAAAATATTTTTGTCCTTCCTTGCCTTTAAAAGAGTGCCCTTTACATTTGCCTTTGTTGCTACATGCCTTACTTCTTGCCTATCTCAAACTGCGAATTTTTTCTAAGCTCTATACTAAACATTAAATCTGTTACGAAAAAAGAAATAAACAAAATGAACACAAAACGATCAGCTTAAATAAAAAAAAAGCCCGTAACTGGAAAAACCGAATGAAAAAAGAATGTTAACAACAAATACTTTTTCACACCCAAACCAGTTCTGCGGGATCAGAATCAACGTTGATTTTAAGCAAGCGAATGAGCCAATTGGAGTAAAGTGACATGCAGATTTAAATTTTTCCCACTTGTGACGAATGTAGCTATCGTTTGTTGTTTTTTGTTTTGTTTTATTTGCATGCTAGCATGCTAGATAACTTTCGTGTCAGTCAGCTGTTGGCTTTCACGCTGGCCAATAGAACCTTCCTGCCTATTCGTGGCAGCCAGCTATAGGCCCTCACTCTGGCCGGTACAAAATGGCCGCAAACTACACGAAAACTGCCGTAGAAGCATGAAAAAATCGATTATTTCCACTATCAATGGGAGTTGGGAAATGCAAAGTCGGTCTTGGCCTTTTCGCTAACTTGGAGCATGTGCATGTAAATTTTGGTGAAAATCCGTCGAAAATTGCAGCCGTGCATTAGTTACACACACACACACACACACACACATCCTGCCTTTTATAGATAGAGATGAATTATTTTCGATTCACCTGTTCACAGGGAGATGAGCTAAAGATTGAATGGCTTGTGTTTGATTAGACACTCTCTGTATAAGCCTCTGGCCAGATTAGAGTCGATCATCAGTAACAAGAACCTACTAGTTGAACAGGGTTTATTTTCGATTTTTGAAAATATTAATCTTGATGCTGGCAGTCAGATAACAATGTTAGTCTTAATTACTCGCTACTGATTATAAAACAATAAATATAAATATATTAACCTTGAAAGGCTTCCTCTCTTGGGCTATCAACTATCAATCGTGTATATAATACACAGATGGAATATAAGCTGTACATATGGTATAAAAGTGGGGTAGGTTAAATCAGAAGTCAAAATTCGAGGAGACTAAATCAAATGCTATAAGAGTGCCATAAATCAGATGTTAAATTGTATGTATCGGGTGGTAAATCAGATGTTAAAAATATGAGTGAAATCTAAAAAAATGTTAAAAAGGTGGGGGAAGATTAAATCAGATGTTAGAAGCGTGGAGGGGTATTAAAACATGTTAAAAGTAGCAGTGGCTAAATCAAATGTTAGAAGAGTGGGGATATAAAATGGATGTTAAAAATATGGGGAGATAAATCTGATGATAGGAATAAATCAGTTATTTGAAGTGGAGGGGTAAATCAACGTTGTTTCTTTTTTAATAATGTTTTTTTCATATTCTCTCAGAAGAAGACAGAAGATAACGATTTCAGAACGTGGGAGGGGCTAAAGATGTTAAAAATGGGGAGATAAATCTGATGTTAACAACGTTTCAGTTATTTTTAAATAATGTTTTTAATAATGTTTTCTTTTTTTTCATATTCTCTCAGAAGAAGACAGAAGATAACGATTAAATCAGATATTACACGTGGGAGGGGCTAAATGCTAAATTCGATGTTAAAAATATGGGGAGATAAATCTGATGTTAACAACGTGAGGGAATAAATCAGTTATTTGAAGTGGGAGGGGTAAATCAGAAGTGTTGTTTCTTTTTTAATAATGTTTTCTTTTTTTCATATTCTCTCAGAAGAAGACAGAAGATAACGATTAAATCAGATATTACACGTGGGAGGGGCTAAATGCTAAATTCGATGTTAAAAATATGGGGAGATAAATCTGATGTTAACAACGTGAGGGAATAAATCAGTTATTTGAAGTGGGAGGGTAAATCAGAAGTGTTGTTTCTTTTTAATAATGTTTTTTTTTTTCATATTCTCTCAGAAGAAGACAGAAGATAACGATTAAATCAGATATTACACGTGGGAGGGGCTAAATGCTAAATTCGATGTTAAAAATATGGGGAGATAAATCTGATGTTAACAACGTGAGGGAATAAATCAGTTATTTGAAGTGGGGGGGGGTAAATCAGAAGTGTTGTTTTTTTTTTAATAATGTTTTCTTTTTTTCATATTCTCTCAGAAGAAGACAGAAGATAACGATTAAATCAGATATTACACGTGGGAGGGGCTAAATGCTAAATTCGATGTTAAAAATATGGGGAGATAAATCTGATGTTAAACAAGCGGGGGCAGATAAATCATCTTTTAAAAATGTGGTGGGAACTAAAACAAATGTTAAAGTTGGAGGAGGCTAATTCAAATGTTAAAGTTGGGGGAGGTTAAATCAGATGTTAAACGTGGTGGGGGAGACAAATAATATTAATTTTCACACTCACCCATTTGATCCAGGGTAATAACTAAGAGACCCTGAACCTTTATCTTTATATAGCGCTTTATACAACGCCGCCAATGAGAATTAGATGTTATCTAGAAGACTGTGGATTAACACCTCAATAACAAACAAGTGTTTGAGCGCTCACTGTTATTCGTTATCGACCACTACAATCTTAACCGCTTCAAGTCTAAAGTCAACCATTATCCATTCGACATATCCTCACAATCTACAATTCTCAAATCCATAAAACAACCCAATTCAGTAACCACCCACTTTGAGTGGTTCTTGAGCCTTAAATTGGCCGAACAATAGCCTAAAACAAATAATGTAGAAACAATTATCTTAGCTTCTGAACATTTGTTATTCTTATTGTTCGCGTAAACGACGGAATACAGTTGAGCAACGGTACAAGTAATAAAGAACTAAGTAAAATTCAAATTCACTTCTAAAATTTTCCTAACATTATTCAAAGGTTGAAGCTGGGAAATATGTGAAAAAAGGAAGCTTTTCGGGAAGGATCAAGTATTGGATTGCAAATTAACTACAAAGGTGAAGTGAAAGCAGGACCAGTGCGTATTATCGCGGGTGGGTATTATTGGGAGCCCCGGGCAGTGAAGCTCGTTAGCTTAACATTTTTTCTCCCTACATTTATATACGTTTATATAAGACTAAACACAAATGACTATTAAAGGATGAAAAACTTTTGCCGATACTGATGTCATTTTTATGAGGCTTTTTGTGTTTTTGTCCAAATCAGTGAATTTTGTTTTGCCCATGTCTCGAAAAAAAAAAAAAACCAAAAAAAAAACACTGAAATTCACTATTTCTTAGACATAATGTGTTAAATTTTTCAACTTTTCAAGTTGATGTTGTAAATTGTGGGTACCTCGAGGTGATGTAATGGTTAGTAAGCTTGTCTCGCTAGAACAATTACGACTGAGTAGTGATTTCGATCATCACTGGGTGCCCCATACTTTCGACCTTGTGCCACATCTGAGCTACGCTTGGAAAATCACTATAAATTGCCACAAAACGTTGTTGACCTATCGTGACATGTCTCTAATTTGTATTTAGATACATTGTATTTATTTTCAATTTTTCTATTCGAAGTGTTCATCTATACGATCCATTTTTGTACATAATTACAATAAAATTTGTATTTTATATGAATACTACCTTATGAAAATTGAGATGTAGTAGCGTGGAGGGGGAGCATAAGAGTTTAGGGTGAAGGCGTACGTGACCCTTACACTGAGCTTGCGTGAAATAATGTCTTCAGTGTTTTATCTCTTTTTTTAAACAAATCTCTTATGCGTTAATTTTCGGTGTTATCGAAAACAAGTCTTTGAACTCAGAGGGAAAAAAACAAAACAAAATTAGAGAGAAGAAACGATATGTAAGCATCCATTATTTTAGTAATGTCAGATCTATTTTTCCCCACCGAGAATAGTTGAATAGAAATGTTTTCGTATGACATTTGTAGTGCAAGTTCCAGGCAAAGGTCGACAGCAAAATAAACTGTACAAGAATCAATCAAAATGTTACATAATCATAACCCCAAGCAATGATTATATTTTTAAATTAAAGCGATCGATATTCGAATATATACACGATTCTTTAAAAATATATTTCGCTCAGTGTGTCTGTTTAATAAGAGGTGAATAGAATTTGCGC